CCTGATAAGGCTAAGGTGCGTTCACACGGTTAGGTTCTCGAGCGGCACAAGCAGAGAGTCACAGATCTCGGATTGAGCACTCGAGTAAGGTAAAACAAGAACCAAAAGGTGAGCTCCCGACGACGAGGTCGCTTGACTTTATACCCTCGTCGTCGTCAGATGGAGCATGTGGTAGTAGAATGATAATCAAAAGGGAACGGCGCGCCAGCGCCGGCTTGCTCGAAAAGGAAATATAGTCTCGGTCCGACCTCCGGGAGAACCGGCACGTTACATCCGCCCTCCCAAAGTGGGAACCGCTTTGACCAAAAGGAAAAATCCCGACGCTCCTTCACCGCGCCTCGCGCTCCTTCATCTTGCGCTTCTCATTACGCTTCTCCTCGCCGATCATGACACCCCTCGCAGTCTTCAGCAGGGCGTAAGCGATGACCTTGCTATTCGCTCCACCGAGCCCGAGTAGATCCTCCACTCCGCCCGCTAGAGTCCCTCCTCCCGCCGATGATCCCGCGGTGCCAGCTCTGACCGCCTTCTCCTCACCCACGGGCGCCTTCTTCGACCCCTCAGCCTCCGATGCCACCATGGGGGCTTTAGTCTTCTTCTTCTTCTTTTTCCTGCTGCCCTCGCCGGTGCCTTCGTCAGCCGGCCTCTTATCTGCTCCTGCCTTTGGCTTATCGACGGTCCCCCCACTGCCCGTCGCTCCCAGGTCACGGCGCCGAGTCTCGATAGCATCGAGGACCTTCTGCGGGAATAGGATCGACCGCGGCGATGGTCCATCGCATTCTAGACTAAAGCCTTGGTCTTGACGAATGTCCTCGTCGACCAGGCACAACGACGCGGTCTTCGGGTTGATGAGAGTGTACAGCGTCGTACGGAGTTCGCGATAGCCCGGCGGGAGCGAGCCGAGCTCGAACGAGAAGGTGCCGTCGCGCATCGAGTCGTCGGTCTCCAGGTACGATTCGACAACTTCGAGCTTGTACCGAGTGAACGGGCAGCCGACCATAGGACGGGGAACGTTGTCGACGACGAATGCGAGGTCGCGCGTGTCGAACACGATCCCTTTGTAGACGTCGATGAAGCGGTCGAAGTCGTCGACGTCTTGAGCCATTGGTGAGTGGGTAGAGTTTCGAATATGCAGCTGGTGTAGGTGAACGATGAATTGACTTTCGGCAAGTCGATCACCCTCGCAAAGCGTCTCCTTATAGGCACACCCTCCAGGACGTCCATCGTCCCAGTTACCAACGATCATTATCGCACCAGCGAAAATCTGCGGATCATCAACCGCGATCCGTCCTACCCCTTCAGGTAAGTCGGCTGCGGTGTTCACGCCCTGTTCGTCTAGATACAGCTTCAGCTGCTCAAGACCATCCACCTTGTCAAACGGAAGCCAGGTAACGTCCCCGGCCTTCCATTTGATCTCGAATACCGCCGCTAATCCTTTTCCTTTATGCGCTAGGATCTTGTCCACGGCCCACTCTGACCCATCTTCGCCAAAGTCGGCAACCTGGGTTTCCGACCGTCCGGGGAACAATCGATCGTCGTTTGCCACATGCACGCGTAACAAAGACGAATGGAACACGGGGTGTACGCCACGTTGTATCAACTGAGATGGGATATCCACCCGGTACGAGTTATTACCAAAGTCTTTGGAGATATGGTAAGGACCTATAAACTTAGGTATGAGCTTTCGAGCACGTCCCTTCGGGAAGCTGATGTTCTTTGTTGATATGTAGACCATATCTCCCTCTACAAACGGCGCCGGCCTGCGATGTCGGTTGGCCAGCCTGGTTTGTTTAACCCAGGCTTCTAGTATCGCGTCGTGAGCAGCCATGATGGCGGATTTCATTTGTTGGGCGAACACGCGCACTCCCGGATATTCAGGTGCCGGCGATTGGTCCCAGATCAACGAGCGCGGCATGCGGCCCGTGTCTAGGAAGAAAGGTGCGAACCCTGTGCTCTCAGACCGAGCCGAGTTGATGGCGAATTCGATCCCAGGCAGCTTGGACACCCAATCCTTCTGATCCGGGCTTACACACGCTCGGATCATTTGGGTTATTGTTCTATTGGCCCGCTCGGTAGACCCATCACTTTCCGGATGGTACGCACTCGACATGGACAACTTGACTCCTAACATCTTATTCAGATGTTGCCAGAAGGTACTGGTAAACAGAACGTCCCGATCGCTCACGATACGCCGGGGCAACCCATGCAACCTATAGATTTCTGCAAAAACAAGCTCGGCGATATCTCTCGTGCGATAGTCTTGCCTGCTGGGCACCAAATGGACACGCCCCGACAGTAAGTCGATTATTACGGTGATTTCGTCATAAGAGGCGTCACGATCCCTTGAGACAGGTAATGGCCCAACAAAATCGATCCCGATAGCCTCCCAGGGTTGAGCCGGTACTGGCAGTGGGTTCAGCAACCCATACGGCTTCTGATTGTTAGGCTTGCTCCGACGACAAGTCACACAACTTTCGCAGAATGCGCGCACGTCGGGAACCATTGACTTCCACCAAACAGCACTCCGGATATACGCCACCGTCTTCGATGGTCCAAGGTGAGCCAACGTCGAGTGAGCACGCGCAATGATCATCTCTCGCACCCGTCGCACCCCTATCATGCAATCCGGTATGCATAATAGTTTAGCGCCGCCGTCTTTTAGGTATAGTACCCCGTCTTCGAATACGAAGTTTTTATACTGCTCAGGTGCCTCGAGTATCAATTTAAAGAACGGATCCTCCTTATATCGCCCGCGAAGACTATCGGGTATTGCGGCTCCGTTCTCGTACTCGCAAACTACATCGATAAACAAAGGTGGTACCGGATCTTTAACAGGATCTGTCAATTTTGACGGATTGCCATCAATCTCAGGAGATCGTGGCCGATCTTTGCTTCCCACCCCGCCCTCCTGGCGCTGTTCAGGAACAAGCAGCGTCACCTTCTTGATGCGCTTGGCGAATTCCTTTGCCGTCTCAGCGCGCCCGGTATCGGCGGACTCGAGCCGAGTACGCGGTTGTGGCCGTGGTCGTACGGTCGCACGCGGCGCTGGAACATCAAGGGACTGCTGCGAAGCCGGCTCAGGCACCGACGGCGGCTTCGGCACACGGGGGCGCAGAGTGGCCATGCGCGCTTCCAGACCTGTCAAAATTGCCATATCCCGAGTACCACGCGGCGGGTGATCGTCATCGTGCTGTACCATTTCGGTCCGAGCCCGTACAAGGCCCGGCTCGTCCACCGCATAGATGCGAGAGAGGGCATCCGCAAGCTCGTTCTCCAGCCCCGGTACGTACTCAATTCGGAAATTGAATTCAGAAAGCTTCTCCAGCCAACGCGCCTGACGACCCGTCAGGTTCTTTTGGTTCATGAAGTGAACCAGGCCCTTGTGGTCAGTATACCACGTAAACGCCACACCGAGCAACAAGTCGCGATATCTCAGCATGGTTTCAAGACCGGCAAGTAGTTCAATTTCATGCACGGCATAATTCTGCTGCGCTGCTGACAATTTTGCGGAGTAGAACGCAACAACCGCCGCACTCCTCCAATCAGGGCCCTGAAGGATGCAGCCACCTACACCGGTCAAGCATCCATCAGTGACAACATGAACCGGAGGAGCGTCAGGCCCGTACCTCATGGCGACACGATTGACGTCGCGGTGAGTACATACTATCTCCCGAATTTCATCAAACGCCCGCTGTTCCGTAGGACCCCAGCGATACACTACATTATCGCCGGTGAGGCGATTTAGCACATCCATCGGGATCCGAATGCCGGCGCAGCCATCAGCCAGGTATCCCACCGCGCCCAGGAATCCCCGCAGCAGATCCCGGTTCACCGGCACATTCCATGTCCGAATCTGCTCGACCTTGACAGGGTCGAGTCGAATTCCTTTGTGCGACACGATCTGGCCGAGGAGCTTGATCTCATCCGCGAGGAAATGCATCTTTTTCTCGGATAGGTAAAATTCGTTTTCGCGCAGGATGTTGATGACTAACTTGACACATCTAATGTGCTCCTCCAAATCGTTGGAGTGCACGATCAGATCATCGAGGTAGATCTCGAGCCAAGACCCAATGAACGGCGAAAACAAGTCGGTCATCACCGCCATGAACGTTGCGATCGCGTTACAATCGCCTTGCTGTAGAACATGACTGACCATCGTCCCGTCAGGCGTAGCCATCAATGTATGCTTTACATTATCTGGTTCCACGCGTACCTGCTCATACGCGCCCTCCAGATCCATCGCCGTAAAATAGCGGCTGGCCGCCACCCGTCGCCAAATGCCATCCTGGTCAGGCAAGGGCGACGACATCTTTTCGGTGTTATCGTTCCTCGCGCGTAAGTCGACGGTGTTCCGCATGCCCCCTGAAGGTTTACTGAGAAACATAATAGGTGATGCATTAACCCCGCTGGCATATTCCCATCGACCAGACTTCAGGAAAATGTCGCGTTTCGTGTTCCACTGTTCCCGGAAGCCTTCCGGGCACCGTGAAGCCCGAAAAGGATAACGCTTATCCTTGTCGATTATAGGGATGCGATGGTTCACCCGTCGTAGAGGAGGTAGTGTAGTCTCCGCCGCCTTTTGGTACAGCGGCGACGCGTACTCATGCAACGCCTTACGGATGTCCTCAATAGACCTTTCCTGCAACTTTGCCGCCCGAGACGCGAGTACACCTACGTCGTCCCCGGACTGCAACTCTACGGGCTGCTCACACCCGACGATAACTCGGGCAGGGTTCAACCCAACCATGATCCTGTGCTGCCAGATAAACGGCGTGCCCAGGATCAAATCATAACCGTCGATGTTCATAATGTCGAAGGTGCGCTGGCTTGATATTTTCGCATAGCGGAACGAGACCGTAGTCGAATAATTGACCTTGGTCTTAGACCCTTGCGCCGCAAGTTGGACTGTGAGCTGCGCGTCAAGTGGCGCACGCTCGACCTTCAGTTGTTCTGCAAGTGTGGAAGACATGAAATCTCCGAGCGACCCGGAATCGAGCAACGCCCGGCATTCGTGCCCATTTACCGTGACCGTGATAACAACGGGACGGGGTATCTTGCGATTGACCGACTTATCCCGCGCCGCGTTCTGTTGTAATACTGGAAAACTACCGACCGGCGGCTGCTTCACGCGAGCCACGCTAACACTCACATCGCGATCTTCTAGGTTCACCCCAATGCTCGCGGCATGATACCACAAGGTATTATCGTTCCCGACGGCATACAACACACCATCAATCTCGAATACACCTTCTACTGGTACGTCCTCGTCAGAATCATCCGACGGGATATTGAATCGTGTTCCAGGCGGGTAGTCGCTATCCTCAGGATCAGAACCCGGTGACCTGTCATCACGACGTAAGTCGCCTTCATCGACGTCCTCCGGGTCCGCGGTACCCCAATTCCAATCACTGAAGAAATCAGTGGCGTCCATCCAGAGTTCATCGCGCTCGAACCGCCGAGTAAGATCAACAAGTTCAAGCATCCGGACACGGTACCAATTTACAAAATCGAAACTTCGACGCATCAAGAGCTCGTTCGGAACTTCGATCGGGATGTCGAGGTAGGGTTCGCGCATTATCCACGGTGTGTGGCCGTCCTCAGATAGAACCATATAGGCGTCGACAGCAAACTCTTCCGTCCAGGTTTCCCACAAATGCGGCAGTTGATCGATTCGCGCCTCGATGAGCTGTCCCATACGGTTGGCGACTGGGTCGCCAAACCTCAAGGACCCTTCAACGAAAGCGTCCCGCTCAAGTCGGTGATCGCGCACGGTCTCCGGACATTCAAAGGTACTGTCGTCCGCCTGTCGTTCATACATTTCACACGTCTGACGAGCGCGGTGTGTAATTCCTCGCGTTATTAAGTAGTCCACGATCCAACGATGCCAGCGCCGGCGGTACCGCCGGTACCACTCATGCGGTGATTGCGCCACAGCATAACGCTCTGCGGGAGACGGGGGGTTCCCAAATGGGTCCAGTCCGTCGTCTCAAACAACGGTGGTGTTTCCCTCGTCTAATTGTGGTACGTCTATATCGCTATCCAGCCTCCAGTGAACAGAGCCACAATGCAGCTCTTCTAACACTTCGGGCTCTTCATCCTCTTCGAGGCCACCGTGTTCGTCGTCCAATTCCGACTCAGTAAAGTGAACGGCGTAACTCGTCTTAGATCCAGGTGCGTGACCCTTGGAATCACTTTTGACCTGTTGCCCAGCTGGGCAATTACGGCTCATATGCCCGGCTTTATGGCACTTGAAACATAGATTGTTTTCCAAGTGCTCCTTTATCTGTTCGCGCGATAGCGGTGAGTCCCGCTTCTGCGCGCCATCCCTCCGCTTCGTGGACTCATTGGCAGACCCATTAGCCGGAGCACCAGACGTTCCCGTCCGGGCAGCGTATCCGCCTCGAGTAGCCTTGCCCCTTTCTTGACGACCTTGGTTGCCGCCGGATGCGCCTCCGCCACGACCGTTACGAGAACTCCTAGCTGTCGTCGATCCATCGACGTGCAGGCTATTGTTGATGGCTCGCTCGGCGACCAAAGCGCCCTCCAGCACTTCGTCATATGAGTTAATGTCGGGGTGTAAACGATCCAGGTATAGTTGACGGCTGATGTCGTCATTCAATCCTTGCCAAAACCGATGGATGAACTGACGATCCGATACTTCATCGCCCAGGTCGTCTCGGAATCCCTCCATGGTCGCCGCATATACCTTCACGGTGGATCCCAGCTGTCGCCAGGTGTGCCAACGATTCCGGATGGCATTCATGAACCCGTCCGGAAAACAATAATTAAACAGTTCGTTGAAAAACTCGCGCACATCCCATTCTTCGGGCCGCTTCACGACACGTTTGAAGAACTGCTGTGCGTCTTTCTCTAGGAAGTGTCCTAACTTAGACACATGTCTCTCCCTGATGATCAACCCGTCTATCAAATACTCGACAGATTGTTCGACATATCGCTGGAACGCGTCAAGGTCATCCCTCCCGTCATACGCCTTCGGCGCCTCGGGTTTGATGTTCGGTTTCACCACGGAGGCTCCAGCCCGTTCTAGCATCCTCATTGCATCGTTTAGCTGCTTCAACTTTCGCTCAAGCGTCTGGCCTAACGAGCTATTCGGTGAAATAAATTGGGACGGGGGGGCCACCGAAGTGCGAACCTTACGCCCTGCTGTTATTATAGCGCTGACCGACGAGACGACAGGTCTGGAAGTACTCATTCCGTGTATACCAGAACGCCCTCCGTCCTCGTGCATGGTGTCCCCGTCCCGGAACCCAACACGAGGATCCGATCCAGCTTCAGCTCGTCGGGAATCGTCCCTCGCATCATGCTGATCCCACGATCGCTCTTGGCGCAGGGCAACGATTTCGGAGGCCTGGGACTCGACAACGCTCGTTAGGCGATCGAGCCGGCCCAGTACATCGTCGAGGCGGCGCTCAGCCTTCAGTCTTGCGTCCTCAGACTCCCTCCAAGACCGCTCAGCTTCAAGGCGAGCCTGACTGGCGGTATCACGTTCCTTCCAGGCCTCACGAACTTCTCGCTCGCAGGTTTCCTTATATAACGTCGCCGAGTCACGGGCTCGGGCCATGATGTCCTCAAGGGGTTCATTCGACGACGGCATAGACGACTCGCTCCGGGCAGGTAACCCCTTCAATCCCCGGTCATCCAGCCTGGTTTTCAATGAGTCGAGCGCCGCGCGCTGAGCGCCGACGTCGATCTCGGCTTCCTCAAGCCCCATGTAGCTAAGGAACTCAGGTACGTCATCCCTCACTAGTCCCTGCGTACTATCGAGTGAAGCAGATACCTTACGCGCCTCCCTTTTACTCTTATCAACAGGGGTAGGCGTCTCGGGCACGGCTTCCAACTCAGAGTCACTGTCGAACGGGCCGGACAATGAAGCTCGTCCTTTGCCTTTAGCCTTCTTAGGCGTACTCGGCACTTCCGGTACCTCCGGTGAATTGTATTCAATATCGTCATCATCCTTGGTTACCAGAGATGTATCCCGAAGGCTTGACAATGACGCAAAACTATTGTCATTCCTGACGATTGTACGTTTAGATAGGACAGGAGACGCGCTACGGCGCCTCCTTGGTACCTTTGACCAAGATTCGGTGCCGTCACTCGACGGCCCGCCGAATCCTCCAATAACGAAGGGCGTCAGGTCCCGCGACTCATCCTTGAGTACGCCAGGCGCCTGAACCCTCAACATTCCCGCCCCACGCGATGCCTCACGCGGCGGTTGCGTATCGGTAGGGACATCATCATGACGTCCCACCCCCGACTTAGCCCCTAGGCTGGATGCACGAGCACCGTCCGTCAATGGGGATCTTCCGACATCCGACACGAGGTCAGATGCTACCGGAAGACGAACATCAGGAGGACCGTGAGCTGCCGCTCCGGTCCGTCCATCAGCAAGAGCACCCGATGGGCGTTCGGCGTCAGGGACGCCATCAGCCCGTCGGTCGCGACGGACCCACTGGCCCATCGTTTCATCCCTAGACACCGGCATGATGTCGAGAGCACACGCGATAACTTGAGGTTATGTTGCTCGTAGTTGTCGCGTCCGATGTAAGGGTGTACCTGGGTGATCAAGCCAGGTAGTTACCTATTCAAAGGAGTTAGCGACTAAGAGCGGTTAGGAAATACTCACTGAGATCTCTCTCAAAAATATGTGACGCGAGCAAAGCCTGATAAGGCTAAGGTGCGTTCACACGGTTAGGTTCTCGAGCGGCACAAGCAGAGAGTCACAGATCTCGGATTGAGCACTCGAGTAAGGTAAAACAAGAAACCAAAAAGGTGAGCTCCCGACGACGAGGTCGCTTGACTTTATACCCTCGTCGTCGTCAGATGGAGCATGTGGTAGTAGAATGATAATCAAAAGGGAACGGCGCGCCAGCGCCGGCTTGCTCGAAAAGGAAATATAGTCTCGGTCTGACCTCCGGGAGAACCGGCACGTTACACCAGATTAGGCTACGGATCAGATCGGCCCAAGCATGCCGCGTGCTGTAAGTTGCCCTCGTATTCTCTCAGCGACGTTGACGATCTCTTCGCAGTGACGTTGCGGGTTACTTGTATAGCCAGGTTTCGGAGGTAATAGTCTTGAACCTGCTATCATATTGTGCCCCTCGTCGCTTTAGTTTGAGCTTGTTGGCGGCCATGTGGCACACAGCGGTCTCTCGCATACATACGTTTGATCTTGCCTAGAGCCGCACAGACATGGACGGGCGCGCCTCCATCGTCCCTACCAGCTAGCCCAAGGCGTCTCTCAGACGGAACACCGACAGAGAAGATGAATCCGCTTGGAGGGGCACGCCCATCGCCGTCAACGCGCGTCAGACGCCCCACGACCTGCCCATGACGCCGTATGAGGTTCAAGGACACGACCGAAGCGCAACTGCCTGTTCTTATGAGATGATACAAGAACAAAGCCTTAGAGTAAGCAGCAGATTCTCTATAGCTGGACACGCAAAAACGAGCTTCGATGACTAGCTACTCAACATACATCTGGTAGTTGTCCCTCGCGTAAGGAATCAGTAAGTTGCAGAAATCTTGACTACCAGTGATAATCGCATGGTTGTCAGTCACATTACTGCTGTTTGCAAAAGTGATGGCGCGTCGTGCTCCAACGCAACTTTTGTCGCGTTCGGGCACGTCCACCGGATATCAACGATATCTCGACAACGACGGCGAATTTTTAGATGATTTATACATGAAAGTCGTAGCCCTTGACGTTCTGCAGATGCAAGGCTAGAAATCTCGGAGAAATGACGGATAGTGTGATCTCTCTCGGTGCAAAGGACACCACATGAGTATATCGACCGTTTGACGAGCAATCATGGAGCTCGGACTTCAGGAATAAGTTTGCATGATGTAGGAATTGGTTACCGAAGTGCAGGTGTGGTTATATTCCGAGTTCGTGAACCTGTGTATACGACGAAGAGTTCGCAGCAGTGCACGCGACCAGCTCGCAAGCTTGTCCTTTTCCATATTCCAATAGTTGTCGTTATCAGTCATACCTGCTCTCAAGCCCGACTTCAACGATGGCCAATGCACAGAAACAAGCTCGGGCCAAGCAGAAGAAAGAAAGGAACACGGCTGCCCGAAATGCCACCACCGAGGGACAGACCAAGGTCCCTACTAGGTCGTCATCACGTCGCCGGGCAGCAGTTACACCCAGCGACCCGGCGGACTTGCCAATAGAACAGAACAAACCCAGGCCCAAGCCTCGGCCGGTATCGAAAAAGCGAAAACAGTCTGACGAAGCCGATGAGCTCGACGAGCTCCCCTCTCAGCTGTCTCGCGGTGTTGATCCTTCGAGTTCCCTTAGCTCCATTCTCGTCAGTGAATCTCCCGACAGATTCATAGCAGTTGAAAGCCTTCTAGGCCTCTCTGGAAGTTCCGTTGAGCTAGGAACTGTCGGGTCGAAGTCGGCACCTCACACTGTCAGCCCGACGCCGCACATCAGTGACTCCGAGACTCTTGATTCCGAAGAACTCGAGCACACAGGGAGACTTGAAGGGCCTGCAGGAGACGACTCAGATGAGATTCTCAGCAATGCGGATGAGAGCGAGGACGGTGATGGTACGACCATCAATATATGCGCATACATCCTTGCAGCTGATCCCACAAAGCTCTCCCCATGGTCCCTTATGCAATACCATACAAAGCGGGTGCATTAGAGACTGTCAGAATTTGCTCTGGGTCATCGTGGGCCTCAGTCCGTCACGCCATAGCCGAAGTACTCATTCAGGAGCCCCGCGATATCGACATCGGGTATAAAATCTCCACTGAACCTCAGAACCGAAAACCTCGCCGTCTCTCTAGTGCACAAGGGCTCGCTGAGCTGTTTGCACATCTCAAGGAGGTGATGAATCAGGCAAAAAAATCAAAGAGCAAAAAGTCGCCAAAGGAAGTTGAAGTCATCATCACAGATCTCAGTGAGCCTGCGGTTGCGAAGGGAAGAGCCAAAAAAGACAAAGTACGGCACAATAATTACCTGTTCCAGTCGCTGACAGATGTCCTAGTCGAATAAGACCTCGAAACGCAACCGGAAGGATAGTGACGACGAGAACAGTGACGACGAGCAAGTCTCTGTTCCTAGGAAGCAGGCGGAGCATTTTGCCCGCCTTGAGGAACTTCATAGCTGTGATGCGCACGTCGGCAAGACATGTCTCGTCAAGCCGACTGGCCAGCATCATGCTCTCACACACGAGGAGCTCAGTATCTGGTCGTTTCTGCTTGTTCGTACCCTTTACTATTCCGAGTGAGCTCAGGTACTAAACTACTGAAGCTTGCTGGGAAGCATACATCGTATGACAAACCTCCGGAAAAGCTGAGGCTTTTCGACGATCAACCCTGAGCACGGGGCCCAATGCCAAAGGATAACACATTGCATACAGCTGCTCCATCGGGTTGGCCGATTTGGCCAGGCTTCTTGCCCTTCCCCGTCTACAACCCGCCGATGACTGGTCCTGCGGCGGCTGTTCCTCCGGCAATGCATGGCTCTTCTCTTGCATCTCGCTCGATGGAACCAGGCTCCTTTCCACTTATATCTGAGTGGCTTGCTTTGCTGGACACTGGCTCTCGCGGGGATGGCAACAACTTTCAGCAGTACTCAGAGCATTTTGCGAGTGCGGGTTACCGGCGCATCAACCAGTTTGCGGATCTGGAGAAGTCTGAGCTACGTGACATGTTCCCGATGATACCGATTGGCATTTCACGCCTGCTTCTTAGCTACGCACAGACTGACATTGAAGCTTGCCGCACTCATGCATGAGACTGATATATTGTAACTTCTTGGTGCTCGCACTTGTACAATATCATAATATAATCCTGCGAGCACAATATGGGCTGTACTAAATGTAACCGCAATGTCGATACCACCCGTGTGCATCAGATGCGGAAACCGAGTGAACAGCTTCATGTAGGCGGACATACACCTCCGTATCGTCATCATCTGTCGTTGCCGGAATGATCAGTGCCCCGATTCGTCGAATACAAGCCTTGATGGCTGAAAATGCCAACTCGATGGGGTTGAGGTCTGGCAAATACGGCGGTAGGAACTCATATCGCATGCCTCTGGTAGATTATGGTTAGTGTAATCCGGGAGAGTGCCCGATCACCCATCGTTCTTCAATCATTTCGAGTACAAGGTCAGACTTGTGAATCCTGCAGTTGTCCATGACAACTACGGAGTTCACACCGGGATATGGGTTCATGTGATCGAGTAAATTGCTGATGAATTGGGCAAAACGTTCGGTGTCGTAAGAACCTTCGGCTATATGCGTGTAGACTATCCCGTCTAGTGACAGTGTTGGAAGGATTGAGTATCTGCGGCTTGGATTCACAAAAGGCTGATCATTGGCATGCAAAGATACGTGCCTTTTTCCTCGGCAAAAGAATGTCTTACGTACAGCCCGCCGCCCTCTGAAAGCCCAAGCCTTCCCCCGGTAGGCGGCGAGTCTTGCCCATGCACTCTCATCAACAAATACGAGCTGCTGAGGAGTATAACTGATCCTGATGTTCATCTTATAGTGAGCTCGCTTCTCCGCACTCCGTTCGAGTGCAATACGTGTGACCTTCCGACAGCGGCATCAGTGAGAATTTGCCATGCAGAACACAGCGGGCGCAGCGTACTTTCTTCATACTCATACCAGCATTCTTCAGGGACCTCCAAATAGTTGATTTTGACACCAAATTTGCCACAGGAATCTTCGATTTCTTTAC